CAGGCTAAATTTGTTAAAGTATTTCCGTTGGACTATCAGAGAGCTCTCAAGGAACTGGAAGCTGAAAAGGAAGAGCAGCAAAATAAGACCGATGATGTTAAGGCCATTGAGAATGGCAAAGCCAGCCATGAACCCAGTGTCAAGGATATTGAGGAGACTATACAAGATGTTGCCATGGAACAGAAGAGAGCTGATCGTGTCTTGGACAAGACCAGAGGTTTTGTTAAGTACAAGCGTGAATCTGCTCCATATCGTGATGCTGGTGAACGCCAAAAGGACTGGGAGGAGGTCTACAATTTCCCTCACGTTCGCAAGAATCTGAAGATGCAAGCGGCCCGTTGCATGGAATGCGGTGTCCCATTCTGTCAATCGAATGCGCATGGTTGTCCTTTGGGTAACATCATACCCAAATGGAATGACTTGGTATTCCATGGTGATTGGAAGGAGGCTTTGCGCCAATTGTTGCAGACCAATAACTTCCCTGAGTTTACTGGTCGTGTCTGTCCTGCACCCTGTGAAGGTTCCTGTGTTCTGGGAATTTCCGAACCGGCGGTGACCATTAAAAATATTGAATGTGCAATCATTGATCATGCCTTTGAACAAGGTTGGATTAAACCAGAAATCCCTGAAACCAGAACAGGCAAACGTGTTGCCATTGTGGGTTCGGGTCCATCTGGTTTGGCTGCAGCCCAGCAACTCAATCGTGCCGGTCACTTTGTTACAGTCTTTGAGCGTAATGATCGTGTAGGTGGTTTACTGCAATACGGTATACCAACCATGAAGCTATCCAAGAATGTTGTTAAACGCCGTGTTGATTTAATGGCCGATGAAGGCATTGAATTCCGCACCAATGTTCATGTTGGCAAGGACATTAAGGCTGAAGTTTTAATGAAAGAGTAAGTTATGGTAATAGGTTTAAATTTTTAACGTTAAAAAAAAACAATATTCTTTACATAGATATGATGCCGTGCTCTTGACAACTGGTTCCACATGGCCTCGTGATTTACCCTTGGCCAATCGTGATCTTAAGGGTATACACTTTGCCATGGAATTCTTGGAGGCCCAACAAAAGAAACAATTGGGTGGTAAGAATGAAATTATTTCCGCCGAAGGCAAAGATGTTATTATTATTGGTGGTGGTGATACTGGCTGTGATTGTATTGCCACCTCATTGCGTCAAGGAGCCAAGAGTATTACAACATTTGAGATTTTGCCCGAACCACCAAAAGGCAGAGCTGCCGATAACCCATGGCCTCAGTGGCCCAAGGTATTCCGGTGAGTACAATTGAAAACAATTCAAAAATCACATATAATACTTTATTTTTCTTTCCCCCAGTGTTGATTATGGCCATGAAGAGGTCCGCCTAAAATGGGGCAAAGATCCCCGCCAGTATTGCACTACAACCAAAGAGTTCATTGGTGAAAATGGCCATATTAAAGCTGTCAAAACCGTTGAGGTTGAATGGACTAAGACACCCACCGGTGCCTGGAGCATGAAAGAGGTGGCTGGTACTGAGAAACACTTTAATGCTGATTTAATTTTATTGGCCATGGGCTTTTTGGGTCCCGAGAAAACTGTACCCAATGAACTTGGTTTGGAATTGGATAATCGTGGTAATGTCAAGGCTTGCAATGGTCCATATGGTACCTCGAATTCGAAAGTATTTGCAGCAGGAGGTAAGTTTTATCAAGAAATATAGTAGAAATGCTACTTAGTTAAGGGGATTTATACAGAGCCAAAAGGCCTCTGAGGTCATTTGTATTCCAAAAGAAATTCTCTGAAATATTCTGTATAATAGCAGGTGACCTTTGAGAAATTTTCTTTATCAGCAGAAAATGTGTAGGACCTAACCAAATATAGTAGCGGTGACTTAATTGAGTACTTTAATCGAAAGATCACTTAAATTTGACCACATTTCTCAATACATGTGGTTTTTGTGATATTAAAGTATGGGCAGATGTGAACATGCCTGGCCAAGTAATGTTCGAGTTGTTGTGGAACGTAGTCTGGGTCTTCGAAAAGGTTAACAGATGTTAGGGTTATTTGTGTACTCTTTAGTTTTTCATTTTGATTCCACCTTTTGCAATTTTGGATCTTTATTATTAGGTTATAAATAAAGGCCAAAATTATTATTATGGCAGCTTCAATCTGATCAACATCAAATTCTTTTTATTAAAATTGCATTGTTTCCAATTTTCTATTTCCAGATTGTCGCCGTGGCCAATCCTTGGTGGTATGGGCAATTACTGAAGGTCGTCAAGCTGCTCGCCAGATCGATAGCTATCTAACAGGCCGTCCTAGTGGTCTTCCGGGTCCTGGTGGTGTTGTGGATCCTACTAAAAAAGCTTAAATATATACACATATAAATTGATGATATTAATTTAGTTTTTATAATTATTAATAATTATTTTATAACACATGTCTTTGTACTTCTGTTTTTTTGCCCAATACACCCACAAGCGAAACGAAGAAAAACCGACTATGTTTTCACATATTTTCTTTAACTGTTACATTTAAATAATTTATATTTTAAGCTTTTTTACAGAAATAAGAATTCGAGTCTCGCTAAATAGAAATATTATTTTGTTTCCATTTTTCCTCAATTTAATGATTTGGTTACAAGGGTTTGTTAATTACAAATTGGGTCATAATCAAAATCACAACTGTTGCAATTGATTGAAAAAATAAATTAACTAATCAATATTTGTTAGAAAACTGCTTTAAATTGTTAAAAAATGCGTTTAAGTACCAAAAAATTCAAAACACATACACAGTTTATGGTCAATTAGCTGCACGTTTTTGAAATATTTACATAGAAAAAAAAATAGTTGTAAACAATATATTGAAAAAAAAAAAACCGTCACTACAGGATCTCAAAAAATCATCCTAATCTACGAAAAACATTTTCGGTATGAACATGAAGTTTTGCATCAAAAGAATGAAAAAAAAAATTGATGAGGCAGTCTAAAACCTCATAAGACAATAACTAGAAATTTAAACAAACAAAAATCTATACCTATTAAATGACTATTATTTATACAAACAAAAAATTATTTATTATATTTAACAAACCAAAACAAAAATGAAAATAAACTGAAAACTGTTATTTGGTGTGCTGATTTCATTTACATATATTAAAATATAACTATAAAATCTTAAGATTGGTGAAAAATACAAAATTCACACAAAAATATTTTAAAACAGTGGAGTTCATATAATTGGAATGTTTGTTGATTTTACATAGAAAATAAAAGGTATAGATGAAGGTCTTGTCCTCAATACTAGAGTCTTCCAACAGATTAACTTTTCGAAATCCGAAGAAAGTTTTCTTTGAAAACATTCCAAAAAAAGAACACAAAAAAAGTTACTTTGTATAAAAACTATTATACAATGCTCAAGTTCGCCGTGAATTTAGTAATGCAAAGTAAAAGCAATTTCTCATTAATTCCATTTAAACCAAAAGTAATGTTCTATAAGTTGACAAAACCTTTGTTTCCAATTATGTGAACACGACTGCACTTTAGATTGTAACTTAAAATTGGGCAAATTGGACAGTTTGTTATTCGACAACTAAATGAAAATTCAAATCTTGTACTCATGCACAACTGAACAAAACCTCTAATCTACTAATCTGGTTTCCTATTGTATGCCAAAAAATATCTTTTTGGAAATCATATCCAAAATCAAATATATTATCATATAAAAAGCCGCCCATGAAAATTTTATGTCACCGTGTCATAAATAACTTTTTTATCCTTTCAAATATTTAATTTCATTACAGCAACTAAGAAAATTACATTCTGAACAAAAAAAAAACGTTTTAATTAGTACATATATACACATACTATTATACTAATACATATGTTTATTAAATATTTTAAGATAGTTATATAAAACTATCATATATTCATATGTATTTATAGCAGTTTTTAAATGAATAATTTTACGCAAATAAATCATGAAATTAATATTTCAATGATTTCTTCTTAGGTATGTATATGAGTATATTAAAAAAAAACTAATATATCCATATGCATACATATACACACTTATAATAATTTATTATATATTCTCTGAAACAAAATACATACATGTAAACATATAATTATATATACCTATGTATAATAATAAGAAAGCAATTCTCATTGCAAGTTCTACTTGTAGTAAAAAGAGAAAGTTTTTCGAAATAAACGTTGAAAATATTTATGTGTTAATAATAAAATGGTGTTTTACTTATTAATGTATATGTAAACAATGATATACTCGTCACACATTATGATATCACAATGTGTGGTTAACTGCTAATTGCAAAATAATTCCCAAAGCCAAATGGTTTTATTTTCAAATAAATTAGGTCTTTATTAGTGAGTCCATTAACACATATACATATTTCTCTAGTTTCACAAATTCATATAAACAAATAAGAATGGTTTCAAGATAGTCCGAAATGTTCATACCTTAGGCTACGCTTTTACCGATGTTATCCTCTATCAATACAAAATATCAAATTGCAGAGTATTCATTTAACACATTTCTCTTCATAGAAAAAAAGCGTTTTGTTTCTCCTCCATAGACTGGGTTAAAATTTGGACCCAGTATTAATCTCTCCCTGGGCTAACATATAATTTATATTGTACCTTTTATAGTTTTAGGGTGACCAGTTTTATAATCAATTACTTTACTTCCAAATACAATTCAAATTCTAACATTGTCGAAAGCTCAGTTTATTATCATAAAAGCTATAAATCGTTACTTTACTATAGAAACGCTAAAGTTACTCTGAACTTTACAGGAGAGAGGGTAAGCTAATCTTAAACTGCTAATTTCCAGGACTTCTGATTAAAAAGTAAAGGTATATTTATCATTTTAGCGGAGTCTCGTATTGTTCTTATTTTGAGGTCTAATAATTAAGCATCTTCTGCTTTTCAATGGTAGTGTACAAATGCTTTCATTGTCATTGTAAAAATAAAGTTTCCTTAAAATAGAGAATCACTTCTGATTGAAAGACAATGTATTTGGGCTTCATATTTATTGTAATTCATTTATCAACATTCATTAATACTAAATGCTTAAAAGGCTAAAAAAAAAAACATTATTAAATGGTTCAGACGTCTTTGGTCAGCAGACATTTATGATGCAAACAAAAAAATAATCGACCAAAAATTTATAATTTTTCATTCGACTGTACCCCAAAAAAATATTTTTATGTATATAATAGATAATATAATAACATAAGAATTTGCTGATAATATTTGGTGTTACCATCGATATTTTTATGCACATAAAAATGTTTGATAAGGATTGCAAGCGACTTTAATATGTAATTAAAATATAAACATGTTAGGATATTTAGAGGCTTTTAAAAAGCCTTTGTATGTCTTTATCGATTGTATTCGATAAATTATTTTTCTTCATAATTGTAAAACATTTAAAGCTTGGTGTAAAAAGGGAGTTATATATTATTTAATAAAAATGCATGGACGTTGTAATATATCCCTGCTATGGATAATGTTAATTAAGTCTATGCAAGTTATATCTTTTAGAATTCCGTTCCACAATTCGAACAGCGCTTGTTCTTCATGGCCAAACAGCATAGAATGCCAACTGGAAAGAAGACAAGGGCACATAGAAGACCCAAACATGGATATGAATCCTCCAAAATCCCAATGCGACAAGCTGGACAGCCACCAACGACAATAATGTTGGGCGTTTGTGTAATAGGAGGCGGTTGTATGACCACACTCACTGGAGTAGTTTCGAATGCTCCATACATTGGCACTTGATATCCCGGCGCCAAGGGCGGAGGAGGAGCTTGTGGCATATAATATTGCTGTTGTGGATTTACACCTTCAGTAATTCCAACATTTGGATTGGTATATTTACCTTCAGAAGAAATAAATTACAAAAACAAAAGTTAACAATGAACTCAACAAAAACAAAAGTTCATTGATTTAAGATTGTTTACCTTGGGATCCTTGCGGAGGAGTGTCTGTAGATGTTTGCATTACCTCCTCGTACGATGGGGGATTTTTCGACGGTTGAGACATTATCTTATTTGCCCTTTTCTATATCAAATAATATTAACAGTTGAAGTAACTACAAAATGAATAATGCGATGAATAAACGAGAAATGCAAGACGAATGCAATTTAATTACTAGATACAAGGGAACTGTAGTTCGGAAATCAGCGCACCTTAAAGAACCATGGTACAATGAAAAGGTAAAGTAGATCTGCCAGCTGATTATAATTTTTTCGAAATGTGACCGAATTCTGCAGAACAGGTAGCGGAGCTTAATTTCATTTTACTCTCTATTAATGGAAGCAACCATGGTACAATGAATTCAAGGTAGGGCAGAACTACCATATGATTTAATTTTTTTTATTTTTCTGGCTTTTCAATAATAAAAAATTGTTCAGAAAATATTCAAATTCGGGTGTTTTCAAAATGCTTATTGCAACGAATGAATCGACAAAATTTACAGTTTTTGTCGCGAAATAAACCATAAGAGATATATAGAACATGATATTGAAAAGAAATTTTAACCATTCATTCAGTTTTCGCGGTTTTAAATTATTTATTCAAAATCAATGCAACAAGTTGTTTGCTTTTTCATTGTTTTGATAGTAATTCTGACATTACAAGCCAAACAGGTAGACCTCTATACTTGCAATTTTTTCAAAGTTGACCTACTCTCTCTTCATTGTACCATGGGAGCAACGTTTTTCAAAACGCAACTGACATATTTGTTGCTCGAAGGAAATTGTCACTTGGCTTCTTTAGCTGTTTTGATATGATGACTTTGGTGAAATCATAACAAAATATTGCAGAGACTGCCAGCACATATCAACCGTGTTCCAGTCACTTTTTTGTGAGTTTGTCAATTTACAGAGCTCGTAGTAAGGCACTGTTTTCAACAATTATGGCTCGATGAAAAGGTTGTATGTCTCTAAGAAAATGTGATCTATAGTCACTAAGAAGAGAACAAAATCGCTAATGTCCTTGTGGAAACCTGAACTTAAAATTTTTGTTAGTATCAAGACAGGTCACTGCAGTGTGAGAGCAAAGACTTGAATGAATGGAACGTCATAGCGACGATAACGATTACTGTAGAATTTGCCAAGATGAAGAAGACATTTTACGTTTTGTTACGTCCACATATCCAATAAAATGTCGGTGTCTCTCTGGCACCGGACATTACGCTTCTATTCTTTTGACATCTGGATATAAAAAATATAATTGTTTTATTTTCATTTTTAGATAAAAACCATGGTAAAATTAAGAAGGTAGTGTAATTTCAAACAAACATTTCAGTTTTCGGCAATTTACCTTTTGATTACATGACTTTACCTTCTTACCGTACCATGGTAAAAACAATTAAAATTCTTACATTGATTTTCCACAGCGTTGCCATATGCAATTTTTTAATGCAGTTTAAATCATTTGGTACATTAACAACGTGGATAATGCACGAATTAATTTGCATTAAGTGACTGTAAATTAAGGCTGCCGTTTGTCTAAGTAATAAGATTACCATTTAGTTGAATATTAATTAAACTGAATAAAATTTTAATTAATTGCATTAAAATCGCTTAACATTGGCTAAAATGTTGTTATCATATCATAACGATTATACTGAAATGTTTCGATCTTCTAGAGCCTACAACTGCGAATTTTAGAACCCTTTTTTATTTTTATTTTTGCTTTGATTTTTATTTTAATCACACATTTCCACTTTGTTTCTTTCTTCTCTTTTTTCGTATACTCTGTGAAATTGCGGTGCGTCGATAGTTCTTTTTATTTTTTCGTTGTAATAAATTAATAAAAACTCAACAAAAATGGCTAAAATGGCATTTCAGCACCAGGCCGGTACGGCCATGGAGTGTTTAAGTGTAAGTTCAAGGGGTTTTCCAAGAAAACAAATATGTTTTTATTGGGTTAGAATCCAATTTTAGTCTTGGCCTGTAATGACGTTTCTTTTTTCAGATTCCCATTACGTTGCACAAGGAGAAAGATTATGACCAAGAGGGAAGAGAAATTTTGAAATGTGGCTTTAAAATTGGGGGAGGTATAGATCAGGATTACAAGAAAAGTCCACAGGGCTATACGGATTATGTATGTCGCAAATAATTTATTCACATACCCAAATCAATTTTATGTGTGTATATTGTTCTATTTGTTTCTTTAGGGTATTTATGTTACTGAGGTCCATGATGGCAGTCCTGCAGCTAGGGCTGGGCTACGTATTCACGATAAAATATTACAATGCAATGGCTATGATTTTACCATGGTCACTCACAAGAAAGCCGTTAGTTATATACGCAAACATCCTGTCTTAAATATGCTGGTGGCACGTAAAGGTGTTACCTCTACATAAAATGCATCCAATGGTCTATGAACAACGAATTGAATAATATCAGTTGTCCATCCTAAAGCAATTATACGAATCTATTCACTTTATTTTTTCCTCTTTACAGAGGTGACTTGATTGATCTCTTTCAAATCGCCTTGCCTTTGTTGATTAAACTCCAAACAACCTTCAGGATCTCTAACTTACCGTGCTCTCTATGATTTTATTACCAAGATTTTATGGTATCATATCTTCCTCAATACTCTTTAATGACCCGTAAATTATTATTTTCATTCGTTTTCATTTTCATCGTAAAATAATAAGCCAATAATATATAAGACGTGGCCAAATTTAATGGAAACTAAGAGTACTTATTGCTATACACAAACAAAAAAACTATCTATTCACTAAGCCCCCAAACTGGTATAATGCATTTATTTACAAAAGTAGTATTATAGAAAATAAAATTGTATTCTCCAAATCATTTCATTCCATTAGACAACATTTATAATCAGCAATTACGTTCTGTAAGACATTCAAAACATTTCCATATGGTATTTTGCAAAGTTTAATAATTAGAAAATAATTGTTCATTATGTTTTTGATTGTAATCACATCAGTATGAGACCTTTTTCACGTATTGCTTTACTACCATCGCCCATAGCTGCATACATTTACAAAATAGTATTTTATGTGATAAACAAATATAAGAATATGTTTTTAACAATAAACAAAATAGATATTTATATAATATTAATTTTAAGAAGTTTTTTTGTTTGTTTTACAACTATTTACCGTAATTAATTCTTTTCAATAATAAAAAGGAATTTATTTGCACATATGTACATTTATTTGGTTTTAATTATTTACATTCTCTAGGCTTTTCATTGATAGAATACCTTCTATAGGTCGTATAGAGATATGTCTTCCATATATATATATGTCCTTCTGTGGGACTTTTTCAGTCAGAAGACTTCTTATTGTTAGTTAATAGATATATGATCTTTAAAAGTAGAAATTCTATAGATGTTTTTAAGATGAAGAATCCTATATATAGGCTTTCTTTTGGTAGATAAATATAGGATATTCCTTGAGTCTTTGGCCTATGTTTTACGAAAAAAAAAAAAAAAAAAAAACAGTTTAATGCGACCTTCGATAGATATTTCATAAATTAAGGAACTTCTATAGGTATTTCAAAGATTGAAGACTTTCTACACGTATGGAATATATAGACGATAAATTAAAGGCCTGCATGATAATTTTAGATGGAAAAAAAAATAAATTTGTAGAAACAACAGGTATTCAAATTAAAGCTAAAATGGCATATTGTTTATTTCGATCGATAATTTTTTTTCGATATCGAGTGAGTGATTGATATATATTCTGGTCTCCCGTAGAATATATATGTATATGCACATTTTATATAGGTTTTGTACTGCAATACCGTTTGTTCAGTTTATTCTACACTTTCCCCACAAACACTTAAGACTCCGTTTTGTTAGGTTTTTATTTTTTTATTAGAAAAATCTCACATTGTTGTTGTATGACAAAATCGAAATGTACGCACGCTATAAATAAAAAAATGTGTGATCATTATCTAAAAGTGCGTTCTTTTAGATGAAGAGTTTTGGTTTAAATGAGCTCGCACAATCAATCAATAGTAACAAATATGATCTTCGTAAAAAACATAACTGTGTGACAACATTTTTCAATAAATCTAAAACGATTTCTTGAGGCTATAACTAAAAAAAACTATTGATTTCTTTGCTTTAACCAAAGGAATCAATGCTCGCACTTTTGCTTTCAAAGATGGGAAAAAGTTTTATCTCAATTATTGCAACCTTTAAGGGCGGAATTTAAATTTTAAAATCATTTGTTTTGTTACAGATGGATAAGAAAATAGTTTCCTAATTTAAAAAAGTATTTCTACAAGATCACTGTTTAATGTTTCTTGTTCTTGCCGTGACGTTCGTATTTGCTCTTGGATGAGTGCCACAAAGCCAAGGGAATGGCCAAAGAGGGCAAAGTCATGATGGCAAAAGCAACCCAATCGAAGAAGTGAGAAGAGAAACGTTTGTTGAATTCACCCAAGTTGACGATACCACCCTCACCAGGTTCGGAGCTGACGGCCAATTGGATCTAAATGGAAATAGGTAATCAATATTTATTCGAAATATTATTGTTGTTTGTCATTACCTTTTCGGCTTCTTCAACGGGTTTGTAGGAAACCTCAGCAGCGGTGAAGTTGAAGTAACCATGGGATTTGGGTCTTACAACAACGACATGTGTATAGTTAGCTTGTGGGGCAAGACGTTCAACGCTGGCAGTGGGTTTGCCACCAACAATTTCGAAGGCTTCAGGATGGAAACCATTATCAACCAATTTGATATTGGTAGCGGCACCATTTCCAACGTTGTAGATAGTGTAACGTACCAACAAATCACTCTTCTCCACCAAGTATTTGTTCAAGATCTGTTTGGAGACCAACAAGCGGGCAGAAGTTTCTTCGTCACCGGCCAAACTTACGCTAGCCACAGCCAACAAGGCAAAGGAAATGAACAAAGCTTTGAACATGCTGTAAAGGCAAATTCGTATAAAATTTATTTAAATGTTTACCACTCAAAATTACGAAAGAAAACAAAAAACTTGTTGACGTGGAGAGTTTTCACCCCACCAGTATTTTGTCAACGAATATTGTGAAGAAATTTTTTATTTCTCTTATATTCATGTTATTTGTTTTATTTTCTTATTTACTATTATATTTGTTTAACTACTGACTACTTACATTTTAATTTTATTTAATAATTTCCTAATTTAAAACAGTCTTGTGTACAACACGACGGCGGCTTTCCAATACAACGTTTCACTTTTCTACAATGTTAACCGACTGAGAATGAGTGTTGTGACGTGTAAACTTCGTTTCTTCTGTCAACTTTCGTGAAACCGTACACAAGCAGATGCTGAATGCTATGAATTCTGCTGACAGCTAGAGATGAGTGAAACAAACAAGGGTAATCGGTATTTATATCATTAAAAATATAAATATTCAATATACGAAACAAAATTTTAGCTTTATTCAAAAACAGAACCGTGTTGGCATGCTTGTTAGGGATACCGTAGTATTTTGATGTTGCAAAATAGTTATGCTCAATCCCATTATTGTTGTTCTTATAAAAACGTTTTGTTTATTAGTGGAGTAACATGGTAATGTTTACCAGGGGTAAGGTAGGGAATACCTAAGCTTCTTCTGTGTTGTTGTTCAACAAACCGAAGCTAGGAGCACATAAATATTTGCTAGTAGAAAGTAATACAAACGTCACCTGGAAAATCATATCTGATAAATAAACACGAATTATTTTAAACCACTAACATTACTTTTTATAAGTCATATTTATGGTCTCACATATATATTACTATGAACAAAACCATGGTAGAATCAAGAAGGTACAGTGATGCAATCATATTTTTGCAATTTTTTCAAAATTATTCTCTTGACAACATCTCATTGTCTAAATTTATATTTATAAATCCATTGTATACACAGAAATCAGAATTGGGAATCTGTTCTTTATTCAGTGAAATTTGACGAGGTACATAAAACTTATGATTACATGACTTTACCTTCTGAGTTCTACCATGCCAAACTCAAAAAATGATTTTTTTTTTAAATAATTTATTGAAAATATTTTTGTTTTTTTTTTTTTAAATATATCTCTGACACTTGTACTACGTACAAAAACAAAGTTGTATGAGGTTGTTGTTCCGTTTGTTGCACAACAATTCTTGCTATTACCTGAATTATTCTACCATGGTGGCAGCCCAATAAATTCTCAAATTAACAAAAAATAAATTGAAAAGAATATATTTGAAGAATATGATCCAAATTTCAGATCAATGATCTCTTTCATGGTAGAATTAAGAAGGTAAAGTCTTTGCAAGAAAAGTGACACTGGCTCAGTGGATACTTTTTTCCAAATACGAAGAAGATCACAAAACCCAAGGGTGTGCCTTTTACAATTTTTAGAAAGAAATTTCTGTGTGAAGATCGCTTTTCATCTTCAGACATTGTAAACGTTTCCAAACGAAGCATCTTATTAATTAACACACATGTTCTATCCCTTATTCCCATCAGATTTTGTCCATGCATACGTACTGGGATGTGCTCCTAATGGGGCTGGCGCTCCTATTTCACACTTTATAAGAGATATAATTATCAAACCGAGTACTGTTGCAAATATTAGCATTTATTTGGAGGCAGTGCACCTATATATTTCAATCATTGCATACAATATGTGTTATTGTTTTCTAATATTTTATACTCCTTTTAAGTAGCAGGCCTTCGTTAATATAATTGTTTAGGCCGTCGCTCTTCGGTCCCTGACATTTTTTTCCTCTGCGTTGACAAAAAAGAAGGAAGGAGAATCCGAAGGGTCCGATGACGATGAATTTTCAGGACCCCATGTCTCAGGAAGAACGGATTTCTGCCTTGGTGGTAAACAAGATGTAATTTTGGTATAAATGGCTGGATGTGTAGTTTCGACTAAATCAGATACTCTCTTTAAGAGTTATGCATATCACACAGAAAGATGGATGGAGTACATTATTAGATCAACTTAAATGATAATTATTTTTACGGGACGCATTTTGGGCGAATCAATTTATATATACCTTCTGGTGTCATAAGGCTTAGGGTATAAATAAATGAAAAACTATTCAAACTCGTTAAAATTGTTGAAAAATGCATATCTTAACGATCTCCGATTGGCGTCGTATAAGAAAACATATGAAAATCTACTTATTTTGGAAAAACCATTTTAAACATTTCGACGTATCAATGTTTCCAAGCGTTGATGCATCTACCTCTAATTTTCAACCATAGTATGTACACACATCAGAATAAATACAAATATAGAAAATGCTTACTTAAACTTTAATTTAACTTCAACTTTACCTTCTTAATTTTACCATGTTATTATCGTTTTTCTGCCGTTTTCTTCCGTATATATTTCTTTGGTTTCAAAAAAATACAAGGCAAAATGAAAGCTTTTGTGTGTATGTCCCTTACAGAACAAAACATTTGCTCCAAACCCCAAGATATTAAATAAACAGGTTGTTAATATCGCCAAAAATATTTCATATCTTACATTTATCACATTTCAATTTTACACTCCTATATATTTCATGCCTTCATAGACGTGGAATATTTCCTCTTGCACTGACTTCAAGACTGACTGAGTGACTGACAGAAAAATAAAAACATTTGCTCCAAACCCAAAGATATTAAATAAACAGGTTGTTAATATCGCTAAAAATATATACTATATCTTACATTTATCACATTTCAATTTTACACCCATATATAATTTCTTGCCTTCATAGACGTGGGACATTTCCTCTTGTACTGATTTCAAGACTGACTTGAACGCTAAATGCCAGGCACAATATTCACTTGAAGATCTTTGTTGATTTATTAAACGTCCAAAGTACAATAATGCCTCATAGAGTTCATCTAACTCTTTGGCCCGGACCAGTTCACATGCATTTGAAGAAATTATATCTATATCACTACTATCAGGTACGTCAGTGCTTTGGAACCAAGCCAATAACTTTTCCAAGCATTTAGGTTGCATAAAAATATTTTCCGAACTTATGTTTTTACCATTATTATTATTGTCGTTGTTGCTTTCAATACATTCTTCAGCTACTACAGATGGAGGAGTCAACGGCCGATAGCTTTGATCGGGATCATTTGCTTGCTTTTGCTGTTGTATTTGCTGTTCTATTTCCATGCGTAAATCTGGAGGCAAAGCCGCTAAAAATTCCGGGTCCACTTCCGTAAGTGGCTCATTAGTTGTTACAGCTGGGGAAGATTTCGATTCCGAAGCAGTTTTATATTGATTAGATTTCAATGCCTGTTTTCTTTCCTGCTTTTGTTTTGCCGCCCTTGATGTGGACGGAAGAAAATCACTTTCATTGAGCAAACTAACATTATTTGATGTTATTTCAGGTTTATCTCTTTTAATCGGAGGCTCTTCATTAATAACTTGTTTTTGGGCTCTGCGATCCCGTAGGATTTCATTCTGTATATCTTGGGGAAGAGCATTAAACACCTCCAGATCGATATCGGAAGGAATTTGAAAATCGTTATTATTTTGGGGTTTTTTCTTCGCTGCAGCATTTTGCAAGAGGCCCATGATGTTGGTTTTTGGTTTAACTTCCTTTGTACTGGCAGTTGCTTTACCTCTGCCTCTCTTAGAAGTTGTGGTCTTTTTTGCTTCTGGACTCTTTTTCACTTCAATAGGCTTCGCTGTGGTTTCTTTACGTTCCGCTTTTGGTTTTTCCTTTATCTTGCTGAACATACTTTTTATGGCATTTTCTTTTGGTTTATTTTCTGCTTCTACGGCGGGTGTCTCATTGGTGGACAAAGCGTTTACTGGTTCTTCAACTGTTTCATTGGCTTTAATTTCCTTTGGTTTGTCCTTTTGTTTCTCTTTGACCTTGGAAAACATATTCATAATCCTATTTTCTTTCGGCTTCTCTTGCTCCGATGTTGGTTCATCTAATTTGGAAAGCTGTATGCCAATTCCCCTTAACTCATGTGGGGGCAAATCCAAAGCTTTCATTGTATTGAGTATATTTCTGGTTATTATGTTCAAATCATTACAATATTCTGAAAGGGATACAGATTTGGTTACATGATCACAAACGCCATGACCCATGAATTTCGAAGTCTCCACTGGAGCCTCTTCGGCACGCACCATTAACTTGAGCGTAATGCATTTTGTTTTCCTTTTTATATTCAGGAGACGCCGGTGTACTTCCTCGCAAAGCTGTTTTAAAAATGTTTCCAATTCATCATAGGTTTTAAAGCGTATTCCATAATTGACTTCGGCCGACACAGATTTTCGTATTTGACCATAAGTTAGTCCACGTTGGTCCTGACCCCTACAGAACTGATATAACGTTTCGCCAAATTTCTTTCCCACCAGTACCTGTATGCGCACCAAAGAAACTTTTTGTAAATCGCCACAAGTTAGCAAGTTGGCATCTTTCAGTGTGTAGGCAGTGCTGCTGCCAACACCTGGTAACTCCTTTATGGGTATATCAGCCATATACGATTCAACATTTTCACTTTGTAAATAGAATTGTCCATCGGGTTTGGCTTTCTTTGTGGCCATACGTGCCTGCAGTCTATAGAGAAAATAATAGGTATTTAATTGAAAATGTTTGCAAAATGAAATATGGCACAAATACCTACTTGTTCGCTCCAACTCCGGCTGAGCAAGGACACTGTGTTTTTTCTTTGATTTCGTCTCGTATGGCCTTCACAAAATCCATAACATCAACTTTAAGTTCCAGCAAAATGTCTGTCAAATCCACAAACATTTCATCACAACTCACAGCCTCAATATTAAGGGTATATTGGGCAATGGTGTTGTAAAGAGTAAAGGCAACTTCTCGGTATCCTTCGAAGTCATATGGTAAGGTCTTCAATTCAGGACACAATTTTAGTGCCTGGCCCACAAACATGCCATTATGTATGCCCTTAGCACGAGCTTCATAAGAAGCTGAAGCAATTTCTGATAATGACATCTTATTCTCAAAACCTCCACGCACCTTATCGGAAAGTATGTTGTTGTGCAAATGTTGTTCGAAACGTTTGGCAAATAATTCCATTTCCACTTTACGATCGGCATTGGGATGAACCGGCACTTCTGCCGCAGCAGATCCTCCTGGAAATCAACGTATAAGAATAAGCTATTTAAATGATAGTCTTTTCGTCAAAACCTTTGGAATGTGTTACAGCAACAGGGAGGCCTCTCAGATGTGGGTTATTCCTTAATCCAACCGACACAAAGAAACAATCCATATCAATGTGCATAATATATGTTTTGCGACTGCCACCATTTAAAGGCTCCACTTCTGGTATATTATTTTCCATTAACTTTTGTTTCAAAAGCATTCTGGCAGGAAATTCTTTATCGGAGCCTTGCTCGCGCAGCTCACTGACATATTGCTTAAATCCTGCGCCCAATGTTGCAATATGATGCAAGCGAGAGTTATTAAAAAATTCAGATAGAAATTTCGGGTCAACCGCTGTACGTGCCACACCAGAAGCATTTGCTTTCGACTTGTTGACATTAGTTGTATTTAATGTCGAATTATGACTGGTTTCCAGGGTATTATTTTGGGCAGTGAAACTTTTTCTAATAGTAGCATTAAATAAATTCAAATCGGCTTCTAGTGAATTTTCGGAGCTATTAATTGTTTCTGATCTATTATGTGCTGTACCGCCGTGGTCTGCGAAGCTCTGATCTGATGCACCCTTACTAGCTGGTATACCAGGATTTGTTATGCTGATATCTGGCTCTTCCTTTTTCTTTTTAATGGCAAAGCTTATTGAAGGTTGCGATGTTTTCTGATTGGTATACAGCAAATATTTAGTATAATCCAAAATCCTCTTTTCTTTCAGGCAATCGACAACCCACTGGGGACTAACAATTTTGCTCGTGTCCATATTTCTTACCTTTACGTCGGGCAAATTTGATGCTATGATAAATGTTGTATGTGAACGTTGATAATGATGATAGGTCCCGCCATGTACCATCATTATACGTTTTAGCTCATCGGATGAGGGGTTCGTGAGGCCATTTACAAATATAGATATGCCATTAAATAGATTGGATTGTCTAAAAGGATCACTAGCCGCACTAAATTGTTCCTCCAATTTAGTGATTTTGGCTTCCATGTAGCCACCCTAAAATAGAAATAGTATTCGTGTATTGTGTTTAGAAATCTATTATTTTTTCAGAACTTGCCCATTCATCGAATCCATTGTTTGCCATCTTTTACGATCGAGTTTTTTATCCAAGATTCTATGGTTCACCGTTCTGATGAAATAAGGGATTTATTAGGGATAGGTGAGTCGACTTCCAATTGATCGACTTCGAGTACTCAAAGTTCTGAAAATCGAATTCAACAATGGACTTGGCTGAAAACCGAGTACTCGACTATTCATAGTCGATTTCAAATTCCTGTTCAACTGTTGTGTCCTGTTTTACTTATGGTCTGTTTCAGAACTGCAAGAATGTAAAAGCTTTTACTACGATAACCAATATTACATTTATGAAATTGTAAAAAATTGCAAAACCATTAGATTCTTGCTGGTTCTTGGAACAGAGTGAGTGGCGGCAATAAATTTCCAATATCCTTAAATAATCGATAAGCCAAGTATCGATTATTTAAGGTGTTCTTCTTTCCTTTAGTGCCCTACATTATAAACCGTGTTTTTGTTTTCATTTTGATCTTTATCGCCCATTTCGCTTAGTTCTTTGTTTCTTTTTCTACGGCGTTAGTATTTTTAACAAGAGCTTTGCTCAGCTCGGAAATAAATTATTTTATAAATAATAAAATATTTTATAAAAATATATTTCGAACGCAAATAACAAACCAAAACTGGATGGAGAGGAGTACCGGGCCACAAATACATTCCCATAAATCCAAGTTTGATGGATTTCTAGTACTATCTGTCTATTAAAGGCGAAAAGGTAAATTCTAATCTAATACTGTTTTGGAATCCAATGTCTTTGTCTTTTATTTACATGTAGTGAAAGGAAATGTGTTTGCTTGTAAGGCAGTTGAAGAAAAAATAATACAACAGAGTTACTAATTACCAAAGTATTAGTTTTGAGAACATTATTTAAGAAAATAGGCATGGTACCATGGAAATATGTGTGCTAACTAAAAAAATCAGCACAATTTAAATTAAATGTAAACAAGTTTCTACAGACAAAGCCAAGAAACAAAACAGTGAGATATCCGTCCGTGTTATAAAAACCCGTGATATAACTTGCGCCTTGCACTTTTTTTGGAGAAATCCATATGAGCATCAAGCAAGGAACTTTGCATTAAAACAAAACTGTTTCTTAATAAAATGAAATGTGTTGCATACATTTAGGCTTACACAGGATATTAAAACATTTACATTCTATATAATTTTTTCTTCCGTGCTGCCTAATTTATACGAACAAGTTAAAAAAACGCGTTATTTAGATTGTCAAACAAACGATACATTTTCGTTGAACACATAATTTTGGTTTCTCTGGTAATTATTATTAAAATGTTAAAACGGTCCTCCATAACAAGTATATATAAAACGGTATAAAACACCAGATACAGCTTAGGAATACCTTTGAAGTACCGGCATATCTGACCGAAGCCAAGAAGTATAGAATTTGGCGAAAAACCGATTTAATATTTAAGACCCCCACAGCCCTAATATGCACTCCATAATAATGATTTTCGGTAAAAGATGTCAGTTACTGCATAGAAATAACAATGCCCAAATTTGATGGGATCGGTTTAAATTTGGGTATAGCTGCATATCTATCTTTGTCCGATTTCAAGTTTATATCAGCCCAAAGAGAATACATTTGGACACATACGAACGAATTTAACCAAGGTTCATATATAGTTTAAGCTCCCACGTGTATGATTCATCCGATTTGATATCTAATTCCCCCAAAGCCACAACATGCGCTTCAAAATAATGATTTTGGTACAAGATATTAAATACAGCCTACAAATATCTTTGCGAAATTTTGTTGAGATCGGTTTAATTATCAAGCGCTTGCTTGAGGTGATCCACACTTTCGTATTTTTAGTGTCAACCTTGCATTCCAAAATGCTCCGTACACAATAGTCCAATGGATTGGTATCCGGAGATTTTGGTGGCCATTGTGCACTGGAAATGAAGCGAGGAACCTCATTTTTTAACCATTCTTGGGTGGCGCGTGCTGAGTGCGATGGTGAAGAGTCCTTTTGGAATGGGCCTGCGGCCAAAATCGTTGCGTGCCCAAGGCTTTAACACACCCTCCAGAATATTTTCGCGAAAATATTCGGCATTTATTCTGATGCCACGGTCAATTAATACGAGCGGAGGGCGACCATCTTTGGCAAGTAAACACGATCATTTTGTTTGTTTACAAACTGCTGGACAACGAGTGTTTTTTCATCGGAGAAAACCAAATTTAGCAGTTCACCATATTCGGCCAAGTGAAGCAACTCTTTAGCTCTTTTGAGTCTATTTTCTTTCCGTTGCGCTGTAAGTTCTTGCACTTTTTGGAATTTTAATGGCTTTACCCCAAGCGATATGTTCAGCTCACGAGATATTTTTCGCCACTGCGACGCAGGTTTCGATCAAGTCGCTTCTTTACTTTTCGAACCCTTTCTGCTGATGTTGCTGTTTTCTTCCGTCCTCTTCCTTGACGTCGGGCTACGCTACCAGTATCACCGTAACGATATTGATATGTTGATATAAAACAGAAGTTGAAGTTGACAACATTGGAGAACAAAGACATTATAGAATTCGACTACTGAACAGGTCATTTTGCGTACATTTTGAAGGAGAAAATTTTAATTTTTAATTTTGAAAGTTGGATGTTGTCAATTAAATATTATTAAATAATATGTTAGTATGAAATTACCTTATATCATTTAGTAGTATATAAGTAGTATGCAACTATTCAACTTCCCCAATATGGTAAAATGTTTTGTACGTCCGTATTTCCCAAGTACCACAGATTTATATCTTAAATAAATACAAATTATAACGTTGTGTAAACTGTTTACTTTTAAAATTATTCCATTTTTGATATTCTCCAATTACAAACATTCACTTTTTTTGTTTTATTGGTATCTATTTTTAAAAGAACTTAAAAAAAGAACAAGTGTGCTTGACATATTTCGCTAACATTCATTCATTACATATATATGTATAATTTATGTAGTTCTGAAATAAAAACATATGTTTTAATTATGTGGTGAAAAAAGTTAATTGAGACATTTCGACATTTGAAGAATCTATTATATGTTTATTTATATCTCCTGTACATGACCATATAAGACAATGAAATCAGGTTTAATGTAAACGTTAGGCGAATACATGGGTAGGAAAATTTAGTTGTTTTTCACCCAAAAGTTATGGACAATTTTAATCACTTAATTTGATTCGTCCATCATGCAAAATTGTTGTTTTCTTTTCTTGCAGAATGTTTTCAATCATCTGTAAAAATTATAGGTTTTCATTCTTGCCCATGCTACGTTTCGTTAGGTTCGAGTCTAGGGCCATAATATGTAAATGAAATTTTCAATGTAAAACTGTTCACATCTAGTTGTCTGCATGAGAATATTTAAAATATGTATTTGTCTTATTTGTTTACTTAAACTACTGCCAGATCGTATTTCAATGATATGTTGTTATATTTTTAAATGTTTTTCTGTCAGTTTTATTTTAATTTTAGAAATAAAAGTCCCCTAATTTCTTTTAATTTTCGCCCCTTTGTTAACAGAAATTACAACTTGATATACAACGCTGCAAATAAAATCATAAAACCAATAAAGTTGATTGAGAGAAAAGTAACAACAAATTGATTACAAAATGTCCAGCAGTTCAGAGGATGGATGTCGAAAGAAAATTCCTCGCATAATGACATTTCGTCCCAGCTACGAAGAGTTTAAAAACTTTTCGGCATACATTGATTACATAGAATCGAGGGGTGCACACTTGGGTGGCATTGCAAAGATAATACCTCCGCCAGAATGGAAACCAAGATCAGAGGGCTATGATATTGATAACATCAATATGACCATACCGGCGCCAATTTCTCAAGTTGTGTCGGGCAAACAAGGTGAATACCAACAGATCAATGTCTTGAAAAAGTCCATGACATTACGCCAGTTTAAAGAACTGGCCGAATCAGAGCGACATCAAACACCAAAACATTTTGACTATGATGATCTCGAAAGGAAATATTGGAAAAATGTAACATACATAGCACCCATGTATGCGGCAGATGTTAAGGGATCGCTAAGCGACCCAGATCTCGATGTATGGAATATTGATCGTTTAGAGACGATATTGGACTATGTTAATAAAGATTATGGCATAGAGATTGATGGAGTTAATACGGCGTATTTATATTTTGGCATGTGGAAAAGTTCATTTGCATGGCACACCGAAGATATGGATCTCTATTCAATAAATTATCTTCATTTTGGGGCGCCCAAAACTTGGTATGCCATACCGCCGGCATATGGCCGACAGTTGGAAAAGTTGGCCAATCGAATTTTCTATGAAAACTATCAGAACTGTAATGCCCATTTGAGACATAAAATGACTTTAATCAGTCCGCAGGTGTTGAAACAAAATAAGATTCCCTACAATCGCATTACCCAAGAGGCCGGTGAAATTATGATAACATTTCCATATGGCTATCATGCTGGATTCAACCATGGCTTCAATGGTGCGGAGTCTACAAACTTTGCCTCCAAACGCTGGATAGAATATGGCAAAAGAGCCTCCATATGCCACTGCCGCAAGGATATGGTTAAAATTTCAATGGAGACCTTTGTCAAACGTTTTCAACCAGAACGTTATGATAATTGGCTGAGAGGAGTAGATTATGGCTGTCATCCAGAGGAGCCAGAAAAACTTTGCCCTGCCCCACCACCCACCATCAATAAGTATACATATTTGAAGAGAAAATCCTCCGAGTGCTCAGAAAGTTCTCAACAAAAACGAGGCTGTTCACTGGCATTGCGAGATGATGCAACGGCAAATAATCTCGAATTAGAAAACACACCAGCCAATGTGAACAGTGGTAGCATACCACTGGAACAGCTTTTTTCGAAAAAAGTACCCACATTAAAGTTACATAAAATTGATATAGATTCCAAAGACTCGCCACTAAGTGGAATGCCAAGGTGTGTAGACTACAATGCTACGGCCGCTGTACAAATTCAGCGCATATGGAATGAACTGCCATGTCCAACACCGGGAAAAAATCTTCTCACCAATGGTATTATTAAGAATACCAAGCGTATGCGTTTTCAAACCAAAACCATTCTATTGGATGATGAAGATTGAGACAAGGGGTTTTTGTTTATTGTTTTTTTTTTTTTATTTTTTAGAATTAAATGTTCTTTTTGTAATTTGAAGAACTTTATTTTGATATATTATTAAAATAAACGTTTAAAATAGGAAATTGCGTTGTTTTCAATCAACTCCTCTTGTATAGAAGTCGTGAGAAATTAATTTAATTTAATACTGTCTGGTCTGTTTATAAACCCCTCCATTCAAGTTAGATATGTTTAATACGAGTTCATATACGCAGTGGTTGGTATCTACTGTGAAGATCAAATAACCAATTTGGAAAATGTGACTAAAAATTCTATTTGAAGGTACCATTACAGGGTGAGATGAAAAAACTGCAACCAACTTGCTTTTATTTTTAAGCCCCTCGTCCGACAGCTGTTAAAAATATTCCAGTGACAGCTAATTATATTGTTTACAAGCGTACAAAAGCATTTTGGTGAGAAATTTCCAGAAAAAAAATTATTCGCGATTGAATTCAAGCGTGGTAGTGTGATTTCTTTATATTTGGCTGGAAAACCACAAGTGGCTATCGTTAGAGCACTCTAGCATTTAAATGTGAATAAATCTTTTGTGTCTCGTACCATCGCTCGTGCCCGTAATACTGGTAGCGTAGCCCGACGACAAGGAAGTGGACAGAAGAAAACAGCAACATCAGCAGAAATGGTTCGAAAAGTAAAGAAGCGACTTGATCGAAACTCGCTTCGCAGTGGCCGAAAAATGACTCGTGAGCTGAACATATCGCAATTCTCCATTCGCCACTCGGGGTAAAGCCATTGAAATTCCAAAAATTGCATGAACTTACAGCGCAACAGAAAGAAAATAAACTCAAAAGAGCTAAAGAGTTGCTTCGCTTGGCCGAAAGTGGTGAACTGCCGAATTTGGTTTTCTCCTATGAGAAAACATTCGTTGTCCAGCAGTTTGTAAACAAACAAATTGATCGTCTTTACTTGCCAAAGAGGTCTGCTCAAAATGTGCACCTTCGGTTGGCCACCAGAACTCAAGCATCGGCCATGGTGATGGTGTGGGCCGCCATAACGGCAAACGGTCGCTCTCCGCGCGTATTAATCGATCGTGGCATCAGAATAAATGTCGAATATTATAACGAAAATATTCTGGAGGGTGTATTAAAGCCTTGGACACGCAAACATTTTGGCCGCAGACCTGGGACATTCCAACAGACTCAGCACGCGCCACCCAAAAATGGTTACAAAATGAAGTTTCTCGCTTCAGTTCCAGCTCACAATTGCCTCTGTATACCAATCCTTTGGACTATTGTGTATGGAGTATTTTGGAAAGCAAGGTTGGCACTAAAAAATACCAAAGTGTCGATCACCTCAAGCAAGCGCTTCGTCAGGAATGGGCCAAAACATTCGGGCAACGTCAAAAACACCTTTAATCTGTCGGTACAGTTATGTGGGGGCCATACTAAAACGTGGACCTATGTAGCTCATTTTTAATACAAAATGTTCTGGGGATCTGTAACACATTTAAATAAATTATCAATCTACTATATTCTATTCGGAAGCTGAAGATGAACTACTGACATGCCTACATCTACATACAATGTTTGTGGTCTAATAAATTTATTTCGAAAATCTACAAACTTAATATATAATGATGAAGTATATAAAAATGACTTTCAGAATTGGATCAAATATTGAACATCTCAATTAATTTATTTGGCAAATTTGATATTTACAAAGAAAAGCGGAATCGGTCTGCCAATAAGACATCAACCCAAAATTTGAAAAAAGTAATTATATGCAAAGTCAGAGCATAATGGTGTGCCAAAGCTTAAACTAACTGCGATGGTATCCACATCAGTCCTCCACTATTTCTGGTACCGGCACCTCATAAAAATCATGGTTATAAGTTGAGGATGTATATCTGCCAGCAACCCCATTGATACATTTTTACTTTTTTCGTTTTATGCCGTTTTGAGCAGTACTCTGGATTTTTCTGTGATTCAACAATTTAGCCCTGAAGTATGCAACCTTCTGATGTTGGACAAGCTGTATAATATAATTTTGCTTATGGCTTGTATATCCTCGAGGACTTTTTTGTACAATATATAACTTTGTAGGATGATTTCCCCGATTTATTCTGCATCCGTACTTGTAATCATGATCAATTTTAAAATTTGTTCGACTTCAAATTTCATATAATTATTCATGGCAATATTTATTTGATATATAACGGAAGAAGACATTTAAACAAGACAGCAAGAATGGATCTACTTTGCGGGCAGCGTATCCTCTGCTCGCTACAAACATGACAAGGAAATTCTATAAAATTCTCATGTTTGCAACATGCTCTCCTTAAACCAACAAAACAGACATTACGCTGCTAATAGCTTATGGTTTATATATTCTCCATACCATATTAACCCTCGTTGGAGATCGGTCTTAAAATCCGAACTATTGTGCTCCAGTAGTTCTTCTCATGGTAAATTTGTAGCTTCTGGCTACTAGACATACGGACAGGTTCTTTCCTGCTTCTTTAAATACCCTCACAATGTTCACTGTAAAACATTTATTTTTTAAAAAAAGTGGCAAAAAGAAATTTAATTAAAATCTCATGTCTGCAATTTTGTTATCTTTAAATAAATAAAAAAACATTGAGAAGTGTTTCATTTCAAAAAATGCAAAAAAAAAAAAAAAGCAGAAAAGAGTAAGAAGCACGGGGAGAAAATTAAAAAGAAATAAAAATACATTGTTATAAAAACGTTAACAACCAGGCAGTCTTGTTAAGAGTATCTCTTAAGTTGGCTGGTTGGTAGCTGTTGATGGTATCTCCTTATGTGCCAATACAAAACAATTCACAAAACAAACAACGAATGGAAGAAGAAGAAAAAATAAACGAAAAAACAAAAAAGAAAACATATTCATGTCTAAAAATAATTGTTGTATTTTTAAGCTTTGATTTTACTTTGTTTGGTTTTTGTATTTCAGTCGTGTGCTGGCATTGTTTACGGCCGCCAGTATCTTTCTACAGCCTTGCCCAAGTGCCTGCGTCAACAATACAAGTGAACAATAATAACAATAACAACACGGACAACGAAGTAGTCTAGGCCCAACACCATATCCTCTGTGGTCGACAACAATGAAAGTGTTATTAACGCTATCAAGCCTATTGCTGGCATTAAATTTTGGCATTTCATCAGGATCACCCGAAGAGTAAGTATGATAATGAGAAAACAAATCAACGTTATTAGTTTTCTGGCCGATTAAGAAATTCTAAAAACTATTAGCCAAAACGTTTGTGTGTGCTTGAAATATGTTATCTCTGTGTGTGCGCGCATAAAGTAGCTGGCTGACCTTTCGCAACTAATTAGTTTTAAGTATTGATTTATTATTTTTGTAATCCCTTGATAGCCAAGTGCAATGTCATTGACCGACCGTATGTGCGTTTGAAATTTCAAGTGAAACTAGTCGACAAACTGCAAAAATCCAATGCATTTAAATTTGTCTAATGCAATTGCATATTTATTCAGTTTAGTTAAAACCATTACAGGTTTCGAGTTACTTTCCAGAGTATTTTTTCCAGTGAAAATGTTACTCCGTTTCTTTGATTTGTACAAAAATTTGATACTGTGGCTTTTATCTTCTCCGTAAGTCATTGAATTAATTACTTCACCCACACATGAATGTGTTAACATCTCCATAAAATGTTAATTCATTGATTTCGTTGAAAGCAAAACAACTCATTTCATATTATGGCCATATCATAAGATTTGTTTAGCAGATCAATGTTTATATTCTCTACCAGTTTTTTTTTTGTTTTCTTGACGAGAAACATAAAGTGAATGTATGTATGTATGTACATACAAACGTTTGTACTTTCTCTTTATGGTGTTTGAAGTGTTTAAATAATAATGCATGGTGTAGGTGGGGAAACAGAATATTCTGAACACTTAACACAAAGCATGCGCAGCAGTCATTTGACAAGTTCATTTGTGTCAACATGAATGTGGAGGTCAATGCCTTTAAATATTGAAATAAAAAGGTTTCACATTAAAACCAAATTTCTTAAAAGCGGTGTTTCCTTTAACGTGAGGGGATTTTTAAAATGCTAAAATAATCAAAAATTAGAGGTAATTTGACAAAGGGACCCATCAAAACTATATAACCCAAATCAATGCTGAACTTTTAGTACTTTTCACCATGAGGTAAAGAAAACCTTAACAGATATAAAAATCTGGATTCAATAGTTTTTCCATTTTTAAACGAAAATATCAGTGAATTAGTTTTGAGAATGTTAAGTTCCTCCAAATACCGTTGTATGGGCGTTACATCAAATCGTTGAGAAAGAGACAATTTTCCGCCAAAAGATACAAGTTTCAAATATCAAATTTGATATATTTTCGTGGAAAATGTGACAAATGTGCCGCTACAAGGGGTCTACAGGATACCGCAGTCCAATGTAAACTATGTTCTGCCACTGAAGATAGAACCGATTACGAACAACAAATTCCGAATTTGTAAGAAATCCGGCAAAAAATATTGCTAATATTTTCAAATTATCGAATATTCTAAGCTACGGTTAAATAGAGGGATATAGGAGGTAGAACATAACTCTCTTGTACTCCAAGTACCAAATTTAAAAAAATTCTGTAAAAAAACTAAGGCTAAAATCATCGAAATACTAAAAATCGGGAGGTACTGATGTACAGGGTGAGATGAAAAACTGCAGCCAACTTCAGACTGCTGTAATTTCTAAGCCACCAGTCCGAAGGCTGTTAAAATTATCCCAGTGATAGCTCATTATATTGTTTAGATACGTACGAAAGCATTTTGGTGAGAAATTTCCAGAAAAAAAAAAAAAAAATACCACAGTGCAATATTCGGGCAGTGTGTGATGGTTTCATTGGCGTTTGACTTTGTTTCAGTTTTTTTTATCTCACCCTGTATGTAAACCTGTTATAATGTGGACAGATGTACTTCGTTTTTAATACCATTTATCCTAGACATAACCTGCAAGAATCTACTAGTTTTGCTATTTTCTTCGATATCGTAAAGGAAAAATCGGTTATTGGAGTAAAACGTTTTACATTCTTGCAGTTCTGGAACAGACCAACTACTGCTCTGTTCAAGTACCTGCAAAAAATCTACTACTTTGCAATTTTCTTCGATATTATTAAGGGAAAATTGGATATATTAGTAAACACTTTTACATGTTTGCATTTCAGAAACAGACCAAATGCAAACTATTATGTCATATATAAAAGCTCCACGTCAAAAAATCGAGAATTTAATACTCGTCATATACACATATATTTCATTGGATCTCCGACGGAGTATTGCCAAAATTTTCGAAAAACTTCTTTCAGTAAAACTACTATGAACACGTGGTAAGAAATTTGTAAATCCATGAAATCGGTCGTTCAAGTTGTATCGGGGGGACACCGACGTAGACAAGTGGCTGCATGGTCCATCTTTTCGTTTATGTATTTTTGTATGAATAATCTTTGCATAGGTAAGTTGTTTAGTCCAAAGACGAACTCTACTGAAATTAGTGGTAATCGGTTCCGATTTGGATTTATCAAAAGCACAATATTTGAACAAATGAAAAAAAAAATACTACATGCGATCAAATTTAGCCTTGAAAAGAGTATAATATGCACCCTCTTGTAATGATATTTGCTACGAAAGGTCAAATACGACAGAGCACGGTTTAGTTGAGCACGATTCAGATTAAGATATAGCTTTCATAAATTAATTACATCCAATTTTAAATTTAAACCGCAACAGATCCGAACATAAATGGCATAATTTAGGTCGTACACAATAGATAAAGAACAATCGTTTGCTGTTAAATCGTGAAGTTATGTTTATAATGTATCAGATCCCATAATAATATTTATAATTTAAAAAAAATACAATAACAAAAAAATACTATAGATAAAATATCAATAATAAATTAGATTGAAAAACACTTGGAATTTAAATAAGTGTTATTGTCATAGTTAAGATAAGAGTTTATTCATATACATTTCATTTAAAAAATAAAACTTTCCAAAAGTCTTTAGGTCAAATTCCATGCAGAGATAATTTGTTGTTTAAAGGGAAAATAATCTAAACGAAATAGACACATTATTCGATCAGTCGAATTCCTTGAACATTTCAACGTTCTAAATTCCAAAAAAAAAAGTAAATTATATTTACATCAATAAATGATTGAATTTGCTATTATGTTAAATTAGCAATACCTCACTGAACCAATTTTTTTATTTAATATTATTTTCTTTCAATCATGTAATCTCTTGTCGCCTAGAAGTATGCTTTGAATCTTTGCTTTCAGACAAATGCCTGCTCGATCAATAATGCGTTACATTTTTAAGAAGAGCGGAAAGTATTCAATTTGTGACAAAAATTCCATTGTTTTCTAGTTGTACCAACAAACTATATTGTGTTCTTATTTTTTAATCTAGTTCTAACTCCAAGTTCGCGTTATAAGAAGTTAAGTGTATGACCATTGACTTAATGGGGGAATATTTTTATACTTCTCGCATTGACATAAATATATGTGTTTATATTCTAGCTGTCTGTGAATGCTGCATTTTTAAAACGAGCATAAATTTTAAGATTTTTGCCACTTTTTTTCTAGAGACCAGTAAAATTTGTAGAACAAAAATGACAATCAGTAGCGTTCTGTTTAAAATAATGGTCGGATTGACTGCTTCTTGATGGCTGATATGTTGATTCTGAAGAATTGTTGTTTTTGTTGTAGCAGCTCATACAGCTGTGTTCGTTTTGTTTCTATTTTCTGACTCCATTCAATCGGGTTCTGCCTCTAAGACCAGTCTCAAAAAGGATGCAACCTGTATGGGTTGTGTCTATAACGAGACTGGAGTTAGGTGAGTAGGCTTGGTTGGACAGGAATTTAGGTGGCTGCACCATCCGGATCGTAATTGAGTCAAAACTACTCGGGTTTGTCGGGCAGCTCTCGTTCTTCAGCTGCGACAGCAGCTCTATATCCTTCAATGACTTCTGCGACCGCATTAGAGTGAATACTGTTCAGTCCCGCTTGATAGGCCTGTTGATCTAGAGGCTCTCTCTTATACCTCTGCACCTCTCTCTCTCTAGCTCATGAAGGTCTTTTCTTACGTGCCTGGGCGGAGGTTGCCTATCCACAAGATTGTGATTCGGATGGCTTTGTCTATAACACCCAAGCAGGTATTGCATTGACAGCATTTTGTTATACTGTCGCACCGGTAAGAGCTTCGCCTCCTCATGATCGATAGGTGTCATGAGGAGGTACCCTGTTGCGGTTCTAAAGGCTTCATTCTGGCAGGACTGACTATTTTTCCACTGCGTAGCACTAACGTTGGCGGATCACACCGGAGTCGCATAGTTTATCAACTGACGAACTGTTGATTATGTTGATACAAATAGATCGTTTTATCATAAAAAATGTACCATAGAATGCTATAACCGTTTCTTTGCTCACTCCTCGATGTTCATTATTATTATTAGATTAGTATCCATTATATTTTCATCTCATAATATTCCCTTTGATTTAATTTATATTTATCTTTTTTTTCTTTTGTAGCTTAGTTTACGGCTATGTCTGCCGCCAAGGGAAATGCCTGAAAGAAGAATTATCCAAAGAGAACTGGAATACAGCCATCAGTTTGCCGGTGTGTCGAATGTTTTGCGGCGACACAATCGGTACACTTTGGCCAAAACCAAGTGGCCTCGTAGATATGGAAAATGTGCTGTTGCACATCAACAAGGATACGATTGAATTTAATGTGCCTTCATATACCAAACAGGCTAAGCATTGGGATGCTAATCGGGAACGTTTTATGGATATATTGGATAATAAAGTACCGAATCATGATGTGTTACGAAAACAAGGACACCCGGTGAAAATAACCATTGAATTGGATGAAAAGAATAGGGCAAATGAGGAAGTGCCACGTTTGACATTGGACACGGATGAAAGTTATAAATTGAACATCATGACGACGGGAGAGAAGAAAGTTGAGGTGAAAATTACGGCACAGAATTACTTTGGAGCCCGTCATGCTTTCGAGACCCTGAGTCAGTTGATTGTCTACGATGACATAAGACGTGAAATGCAAATGTTGGCAAAGGCCTCCATCGAAGATGGTCCGGCATTTAAATGGCGTGGTTTGCTGTTGGATACTTCACGCAACTTCTATTCCACCAAGGCCATTAAAAGAACGTTGGGTAAGTAAGAAGAAAATTAAAAATGTTTGGAATATTATTAAAAACGTGTTTTATTTATTTTTCGTAGATGCCATGGCCATGGTAAAACTCAACACATTCCATTGGCACATTACCGACTCCCATAGCTTCCCCTTAGAAGTGAAAGCCCGTCCAGAATTGTATAAATTAGGTGCCTATTCACCGCGCAAGGTGTACACCCATCAAGACATTGAAGATATTGTGGAATATGGCCGTGTTCGTGGTATTCGCGTTATGCCCGAATTTGATGCCCCAGCTCATGTGGGTGAGGGTTGGCAGCATAAAAATATGACAGCCTGCTTTAATGCCCAACCCTGGAAAGATTATTGTGTAGAGCCACCATGCGGTCAATTGGATCCCACTGTAGATGAAATGTATTCTGTTTTGGAAGATATTTATCGAGAAATGTTTGATCTTTTCAAGCCTGATGTATTCCACATGGGAGGCGACGAGGTTTCTGTCAACTGTTGGAATAGCAGTGAACAAATCCGTAATTGGATGACCTCGAAACAAGGTTGGGGTTTGCAGGAAAGTGATTTTATACGTTTATGGGGATATTTTCAAACACATGCCTTGGAACGTGTCGATAAAGTCGCCGGGGAGAAAGTACCCATAACCTTGTGGACCAGTCATTTAACCGATGTCCCCTATTTGGATGATTATTTGGATAAAGAACGTTATATCATACAAATCTGGACCACAGGTATGGATCCCAAAGTCACTGACATCTTGAAAAGAGGTTTCCGTGTCATTGTGTCAAATTACGATGCCCTTTACTTTGATTGTGGCGGTGCCGGATGGGTTACGGATGGCAACAATTGGTGTTCTCCCTACATTGGCTGGCAAAAGGTCTATGAAAATCGCATGGAAAACATTTCCGGAGATTATGTACCATTAGTTATGGGAGCCGAGGCTGCTATTTGGTCCGAACAAATCGATGAGCATACCTTGGATCAACGTTTTTGGCCACGTGCCAGTGCTTTGGCTGAACGTTTGTGGTCCAATAGCAAGGATACATGGCGCCAGGCTGAGCCCCGTATGCTGGTACATCGTGAACGTTTGGTGGAGAACGGCATTGCGGCGGAAGCTTTACAACCTGAATGGTGTTTGCAGAATCAAAACGAATGTCCCATTGATGCCTATACGAGCCTCAAGAGAGCATAAATAGACGAAGGTGGAAACGTTTTGAGCTAATCAAATTTCTAGTATTCTTTATATTGTTTACAATATTAATGATGTCGGTCCTTATTGCGATTGGAAGACTATGTACATGGAAACGAAAAATTATTCACGCAACATCTGTAGAATTAATGCAGATATCAGTTATTTAAAATTGTTTGAAAGAAAAAATAAAAACAAAATTTGAATTATTTAAATCATCCATAAATCATATGAAAATACTTTGGGATGCTAAGTCCTCCTAGGTTGAATGTTATCAAGAGACTTTCTATAAACAGTAAAAAACCTAAAAGGCGTCTAAAGTTTGTATATTTTATGTAAACGGGAGACCCATATATTTTCAGTAGAAATAATTGTTCTTACAGATTATCTAAAAATGAAAGACATTCTGAAGAAAGAAGACCTTTAAATTTATTTACATCTAAAAATCCTATCAGAGGAATAATTGTGGATATTTAAAAAAAAAATTCCAGCACTGCCGAGAATAGCTCCATCTAAAATGAGGAATACTTTTTTAGGCACAATCAGACCTTAAAACTTGGATTTTTCAAAGAATATTTTTTTAATCACAATCAGACCTATAAACGTGGATCTTTTAAAGAATAACTGTTCAATCACCGTCAGAGCTATACAGGGTGAAGTGAAAAAACTGCAACCAAGTGCAACTGCCGTCATTTCTAAACCATTCGTCCGACAGCTGTTAAAATTTTTCCAGTGACAGCTCATTATATTGTTTACAAGCGTAAAAAAGCATTTTGTTGAGAATTTTCCAGCAAAAAAGTGATTCGTGATGGAATTCAAGCGTGATTGAGTGATATCTTACCGTGATACTGGTAAGATATCCCGACGACAAGCAAGTGGACGGAAGAAAACAGCAACATCAGCAGAAATGGTTTGAAAAGTAAAGAAGCGACTTGATCGAAACCTGCGTCGCAGTGGCCGAAAAATGGCTCGTATGCTAAACATATCGCATTATTTCGGGGTAAAGCCATTGAAATTCCAAAAAGTGGAAGAACTTACACCGCAACAGAAAGAAAATAGACTCAAAAGACACTAAAGAGTTGCTCCGCTTGGCCGAAAGCGGAACTGCCGAATTTGGTTTTCTCCGTCACCGATGGGAAAACATTCGTTGTCCAGCATTTTGTAACCAAACAAAATGGACGTGTTTACTTGACAAAGAGGTCAACCTTCGGTTGGCCACCAGAACTTAAGCGCAGTCCACGGTGATGGTGTGGGCCGCCATAACAGCCGATGGTCGCTCTCCGCTCATATTAATCGAACATGGCATCAGAATAAATGCCTAATATTTTGGCGACAACTTTCTGGAGGGTGTATTAAAGCCTTGGGCACGCAAACATTTTGGCCGCAGACCTTGGACATTCCAACAGAACTCAGCACCATCGCACTCAGCACGCGCCACCCAAGAATGGTTACAAAATGAGGTTTCTTGCTTCATTTCCAGCGCACAATGGCCACAAAAATCTCCGGATACCAATCCATTGGACTATTGAGTATTTCGGAAAACAAAGGTTGACACAAAAAAATACTAAAGTGTCGATTATCTCAATCAAGCGCTTCGCCGGGAATGGACAAAAATACCGCAGAGCAACATTCGGGCAGAGTGTGACGGTTTCATTGGCCGTTTGAAGGCCATAATTCTTTGGCCAATTCGAACAAAATCTAAACTTATTCAAAAATTTTATGCTGTTTCCAACATTTTTTGCTTTCATTCCATAAAATTAAAAAAAAAAAATTAAAAATTATAGCGTTTGACTTTGTTGCAGTTTTCATCCTGTAAACTCAATGTGCATTAAAAATTATCAACGAGGATTTAATAAACGTAACTTTGGATTTTTTCAAGTTCCATGGATCTATATGTCGCTTAATTATACTATCTAGATGTCGCTTAACCTCTTCACATAAGTATAGATTTTTTAAAGAATATTTTTCAACATTTCTTTAATATAATATTTCCTAATATTATCTAAATGTGTTAAAAATTTGAACTGGATTTGTAAAAAAATTTAAACGTGGGTTTAAGAAAATATCAACCCTGGTTTATATAAATTCAATGTGTATTAAAAAAATATCAACTAGGATTTAATGAAGATAACTTCCGATTGTTTTCAATTCGATCATTTTTCTCTAAGTGTATGACGTTTAACATCTTTGGCCTCAGTGGAAATAAATAATTAAAAATTGCTCCCCTTGTAAGTGTCTTAGGGAAAAAAAATCTCACGCTCTGTTAAATGAAACCGACGTCGATTGTTATCTATAAAATAGTCATTACTTAATAATGTGACATCCTGTCAATACATGTTTCAGAACCATAACACTGCCTCATAATCATTGTCCAACACACCTTTTGCATGTATCCTGTTTTCAAGTTGGAATCTTCACACGCCGAGAACAGAAGCCAGCCGTTACACATCTGTAAATGTTTTCAAGTGCAACCGGTATTGAAATCTTTTTTTTTAACAGTCAGACGGCTGCAGTTCTAGTCACAGACAAGCAAATGACAAGGATTCGAAAAATATTGCAAGATAATTACAATAATAAAAATATATTTTTAAAAGCATCCTTTAAAAGCAAGTAAAATATGTGAAATATTAGAATTGCGGAGAGAGGCCCCAAGGGCTCCAGGGCATCCTCTGGCTATATTTTACTGCCCATTCACTAAAATCTTGTTCTTGTAGCATTTCAAAGGGCACAACTCCATATTCCAACAACACTTCCCCTTTTCTAGCCATACAAGTTCATCAATAACGACAACATATTTAAGTATCCCACCGAAACCAGATGTTGGGAAAATGCAAAATCACAGCTTAAAAAAGAACTACATTACGCATGAGATGATTGGAGGTATTTCTGGCAGGTGTGCCATCAGGCATCAACACAACAAGACATTGCCTAGAAATAGTGAATTAATTACAAATGAATAATAAAAATTCATAAAATTACTTAAGAAGGCAACACAAGAACCAAGACAGCCAGCCCCAACAAAAAATAACCGTCTTGAAAGAGAAGAAAAATCAAAAAGGGACCCAACAAACCTGCTAGTCAACCGTTGGTAATTAATAGTTTCCAATAGGGCGGGATGAATTGATGGTAAAGCCAATGATGATAACTTTATACGAGTAATAAACCATGGGCATTGGTTTGACCTAAATGAAGGTTATTTTTTGTTCTACGCATAATTTGCAAGGGACACTGCCATAATCTCAGTGGGCAGCAACTGATCTAACTTGTTTTTGAGAACATCTCCCTTGGGTTAGCAAGACACAAAGACACACGTACACCACAGGTGTATAACATGTCCAGGTATAAATGCTGGGAACTTTTCTTGGTCTCGTCGCAAATATCATAAAGACAAATATTAGTGGGCTAAGCTAGCACCTGGCGGAACTATCAACTAATAATTTGCACTTTTTAATGGGGCGGAACACATGTTTACTTGCTTTCTTGTTCGTATCATTGAATGTTATTCTTAAAAGGAAGTCGACAAAACGAACAAGAAGTAGCTGATCTCATGCCAATTAAAAATAAATTCATTGTAAGTCCGACACCGAGAAAAGGTAATCAATACCAGAAAAGAGATTCTACAATAATTACATGGTCAGAATGTGTGTTTGAAAAAAATCTTTAAATATACGTTATACCTCTGTTGGTACTTTAAACAATGCCTTTTTAAAACCCAAATTTTTAGCATCTATTGTGGTTCAAATTTCCGTACCCTCCACCATACATTGTATGGAGGGTATATTAAGTTTTTCATTCCGCTTGAAACTCTTCGAAATTCGAATCTATGTCGATATGACTTAGCGTCCGAATGAATTGAAGTAGGTTGATAAAATTGTCTTGCGATTCATTTTAGGTCCGTCGAATTTTTAGTGTGGGAAATGGGCCTTTTGGTGTTTATGGTAATATTTTTAAATATAATTTGCTGTAAATTAGCAGTATGTGTATCCTACATATGAGCAACATCCTTGCAAAGAACAGTCCATATAGATTCATGTTCAGGTATAGTCCATACATAACTGTACCCCCAAAATCTAAGTTTTAATGTTTTGTGTCACATTTTTCCCCGGAATTGCATCAAATATGGTGATTGTTATGGATATCACCTCCCTCCCTTATACAGGTCCATGTCTTGGTAAAAGCACCATATAACCGTACCTCCCTATATTCGGTATATTGATGATTTTGGTTCTATTTTTCACCGGAACTTTTTAAAATATGAAATTTGGAGTTCGACATGGATACTTATTCCTATGACACAAAATTGCTTTGCAAATTCACGTTTTCACCATATTCTGTATTTCACTGATGCTTGTTATATTTTTATACCCTACATCACATAGTGGTAAGGATATTATGTCTTTGTGCATTTGTTTGTAACATGGAGAAGGAAGCGAGACAGACCCATAGTTACTTTTGAGGATCTTCATAGAATTACTTTCTGACTCGATTTATGTATGCCAGTCCGTCTGTCCGTCGGTCCATGTATTATTGTGAACAGAATTCAGGTCGCATTTATTATCCGATTGAGATAAAATTTTGCAAACAATATTTGTTTGGCCCAAGGACGAACCAATTTAGATATAACTCTCTTCAACCGATTTCGGGTTAATTGTGCACCAAATAGACAATATAAATCCAAATGACCTGTATTTCGGGACATCCCAACGAATTCAGGAGAAAATCGGTTTAGATATAGCTATAGGTCCTATATATATGTTTCATCCGATTTGGGATTTTAAGTCCCTCACATGCGTAATATGCATTCCACAACAATGATCTTTGGTACCAGATATCATATACAGCTCTGAAATAAGTGTATGAAATTTTATGTAGATTGGTTAGGATTTGGATATATCTCCCATATTTATCCTCAACCGATTTCGGGTTAATTGTGCACCACATTGGTAATATCATATGGACTTAATTTCGGCATATCCAACCGAATTCACTCTAGAAGCAAGTACATCAAATTCGGAGATAATCGGTTCAGATATAGCTATAGCTCCCATATATATGTTTTATCCGATTTGGTGTTTAAGTCCCTCAAATGTGTAATATGCATTCGACAACAATGATATTTGGTATCAGATATCTTATAGTGTATGGAAATACCTCTGCTAAATGCTATCAAGATCGGTTCAGATTTGAATATAGGTCCCACATATATTTTCAATCA